CCTATCAAGAAATTGCCCAGCTAAAGCCAAGCTCTTGAGAAACGGGGAACCAGAGGTCTGGAAAGACTGATGCTTTGTCCAATGTCACAAGCAGAAGAGAGATAATTCTACTCTCTGGACTCCAAATTTAGTGTTATCGGCTCTGTCAATGTTTCAAAAAATTTTTATGTAATAGAGATAACGCTTAAGATAGAAATACTATAGTTTTGACAAAACCCTTTCTGTTCAGATTTGAAGACATTCAGATATTATATAGTGGTGTTTTTGTTGATATCGTTCATAAACAAGGAGTTTGGCTATATTATAGGCCCAGTCAATGGAATTTCAGAAACAATCAAAATGTAACACGTACAGTAGCAAAGTATTAAAGATGCTCTTTGTGGAAGAAGAGCTTCATTTCATGGGAAATCAAAAGGCCATGCCAAAGTAATTGGGATTTTGCAAGACAGCAAGTAACAGAATTACAAATGTGAGTGAAGGTGGTGTGTGAAAAATGTAGTCAACAATGAAATGTGATAAAAATGTGTTGTAAGTCATAGTAACATTATTAATTCTATTGTTTAAGGTCTCAGAGATGTGCTTCAAACACTCATGTTTTGCTGCAGATTTAGAAATCAGATGTTGTACCAGTAATCTGATTAACTCGTATTATTCCAGAGTTTTGTTTGAAAAGCCCCTTAATAACTACTGCATGGAAAAAAATGACATTTTGGCATTAAAATATGAGTTAAGAAAGATCCACTTTGAAATCATTAGTAAAAAAATGGAATCAGAATCAGAGGTCAAAGGGCAGAGTTGCTTCCATCCCCCAAATTAAAAACTAAATGTTCATAATCAGCTTGTTATAATCATTTTGAACGTTAAATTCCATCTTACATATGAATTTTCAGTATTTTTTGTGTTTATGTTAACTGCTCAAGATATTTGTAAATTGTGCAAGAATATCAGAATCTCAGTCAACTGGATGCTATTTATAAACATTTCTGAAGCTAAGAGCACTGATAAGTCATAATACTTTCATACAAGTGATTAAGTCATTGAAGCTATCAGAGTAAAAATCAGAAACTTGAGAACATGCCACCAGTGTAACTTCCCTAGTTTTATGTGGAAATTTTAATTTTACATGTCAAAGTTGCATGTATCATGTTCACTGTACTTGATTTGGGTTCTTGTAAATATAAAAAGGTAAAAATGAGATATGCATAATCTTTATATTTCAACATGAATGAACCCAAGACAAATGAGCTGGACATGAAGGGTCTTATGTGCTTACTTTTGAGCATAGAAACTAATTAAATTTGAATGTGATATAGTCCAGCTCAGGTACACCCACTCCCCTGAGTCCCCAAGATGCCCCAGACAGAGCCAGTTGCTTTATTCCTATAAGACCATAGCTTATTTACATTTATATTATAGTGCTTTTCACCGTAATGTATTTATACAGTATGTTAATACACAGTGTTTTCCTGTATAAGTATAGTTGTGACTCAACTGTTGGGCATTAGTTCTGTTTATCTTTTCTCCTGCTGCTTATATCTCAGGCCTGGCACATAGCAGAAGCTCAGTAAATGTTTGGGTGGATGAATGAATGAATGAATGAAGAAATATGTTGATTTAGAGCAGTCATTGAGGAAAGTTGTATGCTCGTTCGCTTTAAAGATACCATGACATTAAAATATTTTCAAACATTATTCTAGGATGGAATAGAGAACCAAACTTGGGGAGATGTCCAGATGCTGTATTAAGGAAGGGGAGGAGAAAGAAAAGGGTTGAATTGGAACAAATTAGGAGGATGAAGAAGAAAAGAGAAGTAACTCTACTTTCAAGCTCCACACCATTTCCTTTGAAAATGAGAGACAACATCGAGTAGGGATTTAAGACACTGGAACCTGGGTTGAAATCATGCCTCAGCCACTTCCTAGTTGTGTAATTTTGAGGGGGTTTCCTGTCCTTCGGTTTCTTCACCCATAATTTGCTTCATAGGGCTGATTATACTACAGTATCAGACTGTAAGTAACAGAAAACCTATTCGTTACTTAAGTGACAAAGCCATTTAGTTATCTCATATATAGATGTCTTAGAGGTAGTAGGTTCTAGGTTGTTTGAACAGTTTAGGATATGAAGCCTCTGGGCTGCCATGTCTGTTTTTCTTTTGGCCTCTCACTCATGGTTTCAAGATGATGCTATAGCTCCAGGCATCCCCTCCTCAAATAGCAGCATCCCAAAGATGGGGAACAAGTGGAGGGACAGTAAGTGGGTTGACAAGGGGCTGCAAGAGAACTCGGGGCCTTTCTCATTTTTCAGATAGAGAACTCTTTCCCCAAATCCCCACATCATTTCCTTCCCTTATTGATCAGAAGTAATGTAAGGGAGGCGTAGAAAACAAGCATCTTATTTCTTAGCCTTCCTAGCAGAAGGACAAGTAAGAAAGAGGTTGAGAATGGCAGTCGAGTAGCCAGCCAAGAATATATGTCACTGTTGCTATAAGGATCATTACTGCTTAGCAACATGCCTGGTACAGATTTGATATTATTATTATCATCAAATACTTATTATTCGATAAGTATTGCTATTTTTATTATAACTACTCTGGACTGCATTGAAGAGAATAATTCCAATATAAGTTAAGATTTTTGCATGGTCAAATAGGCTACTTCCTACTACTTACAATTTTTTTTATAAGTAATTTATAAACTCAGACATTACTATTATTATCCTTTTGATATTATCTCCACCCCCACCCTCTCTTTATCCCACCCCACTCTGTTTTTGTGCATGTTGCCAACTAGGAGAATTAGTTTGTTCCTGTTGTCAGAACTGAAATGTAAACAGTGGTTTTCCTAAAATATCAATTAAGATGAGTGGAAACTTTTGTTTCAATTATTTTTAATATAGGCTTAAGAATTAAGGTTGCATTTTACCTCAGAGCTTCAGAACTTATAAAATTTTCATTGCAGAAAATCTCTTGAGATAATACCTTGCCACCCAGCCATTTCTGTGTAGACTGGTTAGCTAACAGAAAATTTACCTAATATGCTCTTCCCATCAATTTACTCTTTGAGAATATCGCTTATTTCAGTTACAACACGAATAGTGGTGAGAGAGGACAGCATCTGGGGAAGATAAAATGGCACATATTCAGGGAATCAAGTAAGAATACCAAAGAGGTAAACAAAACAAAATGAAAAATAACCTCTAGAGGAGAGAGAGAAGGATGAAAGTAATAAAACCTACGACCAAGTTTGTTATGCTAGCAAATTAACAGACCTCTTTAAATGTACTAATCACAAGACTTCGTATTATACAAGTTATAATACACTAATAGAGTACGGTATAGTATAGTATAGTATATATACTATGTACCAGCATAAGGCGCAAAGTAAGGAGTCTTGAGCAATAGTATTTTCCATGTTTGTAGATAGAAGAACAAATAATCACATTTGAAAAATCAATTTTTATATTGGAGCAAACAGAAATGTGCATGATTGTTTGCAATGTATGTTATCAATATACTGAAGGGATCAGCAGGCCAGTTAGAGAAAGAGAGACTCTCCTTAGGAAAAGTTGATCTGATTTCTGCCTCGTAAATAGTTGAAATATTGGGAAAATAGGACTATAATCCAGACCTAATGTTGTGTGTATGTTATAATTTATTTTGTTTTTAAACAAAATAAGCTTTATTGAAATATAATTTACATATCATAAAGTTCACCCACTTAAAGTATACAATTTAATGGTTGGACCTATTATTTTTAAGAGAAGCAAACAAACTGAAAAAAAATGAGGATGCTTAGAAACTGCTGATTTCCAATTAGAAGCTCATGTAAATGCTGAAAAATCAATTGGAGGACAAATTTTTCATTTAAAAGCAGAAAGAAAATTACACGTAATATTTATGCACTGCATTTTCTAGATGTCCTGAGTTCAGGCATTCTTAGTGTGTGCACAGGATCCCTACCTGGGAATGGAAAAGCTCCTCAGATGCCTGGGAGCAGATATAACCAAAGACAGGGAAAGCTGGGTGGAGAAAGAAGTCCAGGAGACCTTTGATGTGGAATCAAGTGTGTGAGTTTGAGAAAGGAGGTTTTGTTGCCAGGCTTCAGTTTAATTTTTTTCTTGATTTGTAATACTTCCTCTTTCCAAAGTTCCATTGTCTATTTCTAGTTGCAAAAGTTCCTTAAAGGTGTATGTTAGACTGTTTAAATAAAGTAAAAATGTTACTTTCCTAAAAATAATCCTTGAAATGTATCATCCAAGCCGGAAGCTTCCTTTTGGACATTTCGGAGAACTCTTGAATCTTTTGCACGTGAGTTCTTCAGGGACATATCAAAGTAAGGAACTGAGGAGGATTACAGCTCAAAGTCGCATGCTATTCCATGTGGAAAATTAAAGAGAAATAAGAGAAGAATCATCTTTTTTCAAGAAAAAAGATTAAAATAATTGGAATTCCTCAGCCAATTTGCAAAGTTTATGTTGACACTGTTGCCAATATGTTGTCTATAATCCATCCCACTAAAGAATCTTCAAAATTCAGTTATCATTTCTTCTTGTTATGCTGAGACAAGCTTAAATATTTACTTAAGTACTTAAGGTAATCTGTTCACTTTATTTATTAAACTATTAGATTTTTCTTTTTAAAGATTTTATTTTTTCCTTTTTCTCCCCAAAGCCCCCTGGTACATAGTTGTGTATTCTTCATTGTGGGTTCTTCTAGTTGTGGCATGTGGGACGCTGCCTCAGCGTGGTCTGATGAGCAGTGCCATGTCCGCGCCCAGGATTCGAACTAACGAAACACTGGGCCGCCTGCAGCGGAGGCGCGAACTTAACCACTCGGCCACGGGGCCAGCCCCTAAACTATTAGATTTTTATTTGATGTTAGTTCTTTGTACAAGGCAGAAGCTATATCAAACATAATAGATTTTTCGCTTTAGTCTGAAACCATGAAATTGGTGACACAATCTTTATTTCTTTGAAGTAATATCTCTTTCTTCTTTGTTTCTTTTGTGTGAATTTCAATACCTTTTTATTAGTTTTAAGGAAAAGCTACAACATAAAAAATAACTTTTGCATTATTAAGCACATGTGTGGAACATTATGTTGACCTCAAGTCTATAAGAAAATTTTACCTTTGTGTCAAGCGGTTAAAGAAAAATTTGGTGTTAAACAGTAAAAAATGAAGAAGTAATATTTGTTTTCTATAATTGACGAGGTTTGCTTTATTTCCTCTAGTCTTACCCCACTCCGATCCATTTTCTACACAGATGCTAGAGTCACTTTATAAAACACAAGCCTAATCACATTTATTCCTACACTTGAAAACCTCAAGACCTCCTCGACTCCATCCACTTTAATGATACAGTTCAAACATCTTAGTTCAAACTATCCACCCCAGCCAACCCTTTTACCATACAAAACTACTTCCTGTCTTCAAAAGGCTCCTTGGGCCCTCTTACTTCCATGCCTTTACCAGGGCTGTTCTTACTACCTAGAGTGCCTTTCTTTCATTTCTGTGGCTAAAGTTACTAAATTCTTGTACTTCCAGAAACAGCTCAGAAGTTGCATGTCTCCCTGTGCCCCAGGCTGAGAGGCCACCTGCAGAAGCTCCCCGTCATGTGCTCCCATTAGCATTTGGTGCATATCCCCATGTAGACATGGCTTAAGGAGCAAACCTGGGAGCACTTACCTGATCCCTGTTCTGTGATGGGCATGTGAATTTCCTCAGACTCCTGGAAATGTCCTAAGGAGGAGGATATTACATTTATTAGAACGCCAAAGAAGACTAAGGTGTGCGGATGGGAAGAATTGATTGAAAAGCAAGTAGAGTTGAAGAGTGAAAATCTCCAGGAAGTAAATTCCAATTCCAAGATGGTCCTAGCCCCAGACTACCTTCTCAGGTGTATGAATCTGGGTACCTGTGGCACTTCCGTGTTACCAGAGGGAGTGTCCATATTTGGCGTCAGAGCTGAATGACTGGGGGCAATAGAGAAGCTGCACCTGGCAGTCTTAAATCATTCCCCACATGACACTCAGCCACTCCTCCAAAGTAAGGTTTAAGGGATTAACCCTTTTTGAGCCACTAGCTAAAGAATTTGTGTTTTCAGCTTGTCTAGGAGGCTGTCTCTGTCAGTCTTGCCTTTAGTTTGGCACTTACCATGCTTTGTTTTCTCAAGTAATCGGCTTATGTGTTCCATCATTGTGTGGACTATATATTAATCTCTTTGTATCCTCAGCACCAAGCAGAGTGCTGGACACATACCAGACATTAAGAAGTTGGCCAAATTAAGAAGTCTGTCCAATTAGTCCAGTTAATTAAGTCACTGTTAAATGGTGTCTTCATAAATTTGCTAAAATCTTAAATCCATGGTCAGGCTGCAGGTGTGGCATCAAACAAATTCCAGGCCTAGAGAAATAAATTTATGTAATTCCTTAGTAATCAATAAATAATATTTGTGCATGTATTAATAGCCCTTCAGTATGACTCTATTTCACTCTACTGAGAAGAATAAAGCAGATCTAAAATTTGCTGATGTTTTTCCTTTTGCCTAAAGAGAGGCATATGCTGAAGTATATCTGGCCCAGATGTTTCACAGCATAAATACCTATAGAATGCAAAACTCTCCATTTACATCTATGACTTCACATCGCTCCCGGTGAGGTTAGTTTCTTAGGCTGTCCTGTTACACAAACCCTGTAGTATTAGGCAATATTCACTTTCTATTCAAAATAAGTAATGCTGAAAATACTTTATTTGTGGCACACTGGAAATGGATGGAAAGAGTCTAGGAAGGAATCAGTCTTAAAATCTAAAATGTTAGCTCTGGAAAGAACTCAGCAGAGTATCATCAGCATCACTCTTATTTTATACCATTTTTCTGAGGCCCAGAGGAGTGAGATGCCCTGACAAAGCTTACACTGCTGCTTTGTGGTCCAGCCTGGAGAAGAATCTAGCTGCCTCAGCTTCCACACTAGTTCCATTCTACATAATCATGTCTCTGGCTTCTGCCTTTCTGCTCCCACATCAGAACTGCAAGTAACAGACAGCAGGATTTATGTGAAGAGGAGAATAGGGAGCTGAAGGGTGGCTGAGAATTTGCTGTCCAGTGTATGGGCAAGATGCCAACAGAAGATGACCTTACAGGTCCAGAAATAAGTTTTGGCTACAAACGAATACTTGAGGTGTCACTAACATAATTCAAGGATGCTGAAAATTGTCATAATTGATAATTCCAGAATTTTTTGGATTGAGCTAAGTATGTTCCTGTAAGGTTGCATTTAGGATGGGTTCTTTCTGTTGACTTCCTTCTTTGTCTGTTTGCCTCTTGCACATCTTCCTGTTGTGAGGGTTTAGCGACTTTTCAAATTAGATTTTCCCCCAGCTGGTTTGGTGCCAGGTTGATAGCTCTAGAAACAGAAGTTCTCTATTTTCTGGCTACGAGTCCAAAGAGCTTAGTTCAGGGTATTGGCTCTTGAACTTCAAAGTCTCGAGTGGCTTAGATTCTGGCAAACTCAGAAATCTCTGTTACCTTTATTCATTAGCCAGCCAGATAGCATTCAATTCACTCATTGCTTTTCCAGTCAATTTTGTGGCAGAGATCACAGCCACAGTGAGTGATGCAGGACTGCATCTATCAGGGACTGAGATGACAGAGATTTCAAGGCATTTGGATTCTTTACTCTATAAAGGTAGTGATTTTGAGAAAGAAGAAAACCTTAATAATATTTGAAAATAGGAAGCAATAGGCCTCATTTAGAACAGATTGTGAATTAATTATATCATGGAACAGAGATCCCTGTATTCACAGTTGCTATTTAAGGAATTATATCATACCAAATGGTATGATAATGGATGGACCCATAATAAAAAGAGTAATGTAGGATTGCAGTTTGGTTAAGAATCAGCAAGGGAATTTTAATCAAAATATTTAAAATATAATGAGAGAGATAGAGAAAGGGAGAGAAATTGAGAGAGGCACACATACAATGCACATAGACTTTTAGAGATAGTAGACAAAATAATGAGGTCATGAAGAAAGAAGAGTGGACCAGAGATGGTGTTAAGAGCTGCTACGTGACCATAGAACAGCTATAAGAACACATAGATGAGTATTTGTCTGAGTTTGGGTTGAGGATGGCCTTCCTTTAGCATAGCATCTATGGTGGGAACTACTGCTAGGTTTGAATGTCTAAATGTTAAAAATATTTCTTGTAAGTAACAAAAAGATCATAACAAAATTAAAACACAAGTGGAAAACTACAAAAACACTAGCAACTCATATGACAATGGATTAAAACCCTTAGTTAAAAAGAGCTGTTATGAATTAATAAGATAAATAAAACTCTAATACAAAGAAGAAATACAAAGAAAACTCTAATACAAAGCAGTTTATTAGAAGAATTACAAATGGCCACAGGAAAAATGGAGTTTTATAAGTTACCAAATAAATGCCCAATACATTTCTTTTTCTGATCAACTTGGCCAAAAATGAATTTAAATTAATGATATGCCTGGTTTTGTCAATGATTCAGTAATAGGGACATATTAACATACTGCTGAGGAGCATGTAAAATGGTACACCATTTCTGGATAGGAATTTGGAAATACCTATCAAGAACCTGAAAAAATATTCATGACTTATGAACCAATTATTCTCATCCTAAATTGTATCTTAAGGAAATAATCAAAGATATATACAAAAATGTATGATCAAGTATATCCATAATAGAATTATTTATAACAATAAAAGTGGAACCAGTTTGATTATTTTGCAGTGAATAAAATAACACAATAGAATCTAACCATTTAATTTCATATTTTTTCAGAATATTCAATGACGTGGAGATCAATTCATGGTGTGATAATCGTATTAAGCTATATATAAAATATGATTCCTGAAATGTTTGATGAAATTTCCAAAATCGCATCCATAATTATTTATGAGTAATAGAATTACAGGCACTTTTTATTTATTTTTTTATACTTTCATGACTTAAAGTTGTTTCCTTATAATCAGGGACAAGCAATACATATATTTTTCCCAGCTCTATTACATACAAAAAAATGACTAATTTTGCGTGTGTAGTTTGATGAATGCCAGCAATTATATACAGTTGAGTAACTGCCCTTACATTCAAGATAGAGGACATTTCCATCACCCTAAAATGTTCCTCATGCCCCTTTGCAGTCAGTTCCATCCCCTAAACAATGTCTGGCAACCACTGCTCTGTTTTCTGTCGCTATTGTTTTGTCCTCTCTAGGATTTCGTATGTGATTTTGAGATTCAGCTGTGCTACAGTGTAGGCTGCTGTTTAGTTCTAAAGATTATATTTTCAAAGAATGCTCGGTACACAGTTCACTCCAAGATTTAACCTCAGGAAGAGGCCATGGGGCATAATGAAAAGAATGAGATTTGGGGGCTGGAGATCTTGGATGAGTCATCTACGTTTTCTGATTCTCCGTTTGTTCCTCTGTAAAACAAGGTTGATAATAACAACTTCCTTACCCAGACTTCAGCATCGTTATGGTTAACAAATCAGAATATGCTTGTTAAACCATTCTCTGAGGCATGAGCATGAGTTTCTGTTCTAATTATTGTGAGTGTGATTATTATTGCTGGAGTGTAGGTCAGTATTCCTCTCCCTTCCAAAGATTTGCCTTTCTATAAAATAGAGACTTGCCTTCATAAAGGCATATTATGACATTAAGTTAAGCACTTAATGAATGGCAATCATGGGAGATGTTTGAAAATGGGCCCGGCTGTCACAAGTGGTAAATAATTGAGTTCTCCAGCATGAATGATTTTCAGATTCAAGTTATGGTATTCATACTTTTCCCTTTTCTTCTTCAGCTTTTCTTTTCCAAATCCTTCTGTGTTTAAGAGCTTTGTCTCTACTAGCAGATTAGAGTATGAGAATGTCCTTTTATTAATTTTTTGATATCTAAATAAGTAATTCTTAGACTTTTCAAGGCAATGGAGTTAAGATTTGGGGAAATAAAAAGGCCTTGAAAAACCAATAATTTTCAAACCAGTTTGCAGATAAGCACTAGGCACCACGAGATAACTTTAAATGACTTGAAAGAAATGATTCAACGAATGTTACTAGGTTATTCATTCATCATTTATTCATTATACAGTCACCACATTTTGATAGCATTTCCATCATGTTCTAGACATTCTGTAGGACCTGAGATACAGTTGATAATTGCTTTAACAGAAATTGCAGTCGAGTTGGAGATGAGGAGCAAAAATAAATAAACCAACCAATTAAATAGTCACAAATTCTGATAAGTGTAAAAAGAATTCAAACAAAGAGCTGCATTGGGTAAGGCCTAGAAAACTTGAGAAAAGACTCTGTAGGGAGAGTACACTCGAGTGAGACCTGAAGCGTAGGGAGCTCATCTTGTGAAGAGCTGGAGGAAGGAGCATTAGGAGAAGCAGGAACATTGTATGTAAGTGCCCTGTGACAGGAAATATAGGAACTAAAACAAATCAATGTGGCTGAAGCATGAGGAGTGAGGAAAGGTCTCCAGTTGAAGCTGGAGAGTTAGGTATGGTCAAATCAGTCACAACCTTACAGACCAAGACGAGGAGTGTGGGTTTTGTTCTAACTCTATGGGGAGAACTGGATGGTTTTACTCATGGAGGTGACTTGATCTGTTTTACTCCTGGGTGTTTTCATAAAATTGAACTGATAACCCTCTTATGATCTGTAGCCAACTTGCAGTTTACTTGCAAAGAATTTAATTAAGATGCAAGGAAAAAAATACACACAGTAGTGCTTTATCTACCTATTTTCTAAAAGAATAATTTCTCACGATTTTTTTCTTTGGGATAATTTCAGGTACTACAGAACATTATGGTTCTTTCCTCTATTATCACGTCTCTACTTCTTTACTGGGGCAGGCTTCCAGGGACAGCTGGGGGGTCCCATGCAGTCAACCAGATACCCCACGCCAGCACATGTATCGTTTACGCTCCTGTGGGTGGCTTTGGCTAGATTTAGAATAACAGCAGTCAGAAACTGATTAATTAGCCAATTTAGAAGCTATTGTAAATCAAATTCTTCTTTGGTGCCTTAATTTGCTAGCTTAATAGCTTCAGGTCAGTAGTAGAGTTTTGATAATATTTTGTTTTCTCTCCAAATGCTTTGAACATTTCATATGAAGGTCAAGTAACCTTGAATAATCATCATAATTTTATTTATATGGCTACCCAGATACCTTTGGTACTTACTTACTATGATGGTTATCAGGTTTGCTGGGGAAGTGTGTCTTTTGTGTGACTGAAACCTCCTGTTACCTTATTAAATATCTAGAATATTGTCTGTCAGTCATGAAGAATAATTGATCATGGGTTATGAGACATCTAACTAGAGTATCTGAAACTAATTCAGTTGCCTTAAAAATAGATTTTACTTTCATTTATATATGATAAAACATTAAACAATACATCATGAGTTTATATTTGAATTAAAACTATGAGTCTGAAACTTACTGTATGAACTTGGGCAAGCATTTAACCTTTCTCTGCCTCCTCTAGAGAATGTAAGTAGGGATAAAAGTAGGATAGTAGTAAGAATTAAATAAGTTCATATTTATATAAAGAGCTTACGCCACATTTGCAAGAATCATGTGAGTCCTTCAGAAACTTTCATTTTTCCGCTTAAGAAATACTATGTCCCAGGCATTGTGTTAGATATAACACACACACACACATGCACACACACATACATACATACATATATATATATATATCTCAAATGAGTAAGGACAGATCCCTGTCTCACCAGAGAGGCCTGAGCTTCCTGCCCGGGACAAGCTGCCCCAGCCAGATGGAACTGGAGAGCTGGGAATGGATGTGGAAGCCAGCAGCCAAAGCATAAGAAACCCAGGCCTCTAGTCCTTCTGTGCTCTGCAGGATTCTCATGTTAAGGTTAGATACACTGAGTTACTTTTCCTCTTTTCAGATCATGTCAGTGATCAAATACTACCTTCCTTTTGGAATGCGACAGGAAATTTGTGTAGATCTTTTTCTTTCTTTAAGTTGGTAGCAGCATATTGTAGTGGGTAAGAAAACAGGTTATAGAATCAGATGCAGACATTACAGAATCAGACAGACCTGGATTCAAGTCCGTTTACCATCCATGTGGCCTGCAAGTTTCTTAACCTCCCTGAGTCTATGGTTCCCTGAGACTATTTTCTCATCTGTAATATGAGGATAGTAATGCTGTAAATTTCTTAGCTTTGTTGTGAGAACTAAATGAGCTATGCTCTTAAAAGGCTTAGCACACTTTAGTACATAGTAAATGCTCAAAGTTAACAATCATCATCTTAACATTATCGTAATTAGTCACCATGTTTATTTTAAAAATGAGGATTCATAAAAATTCTATAAATTGCCCAGTGACTTAATGTGGATGCAAACCCAGTTCTCCTTGATTTCAAAATCCTCGCTGTTTGCATTGATTTTATGCCTCCTCTTGAGAAAAACAAAACAAAAACTAGACCAACACCTCTTAAAAACTAAAATCATGTAATACTACTATTCATAAAAACAAAAATGAAAGGCTCATGGTTGTTAAAAATATGATATTGGAATAAACATCCCAATGATACATTTTACAGAAGGCTGATAAAAATAGAAAGCAAGTACAGTTTTCATTAGCTTCCTTCATTAAAATCCTCTACCACTCAGAGCTACTGCTTTGAGGATTTTCCAGATCACAGCTTGTCTCTGTTTCCCAGGTGAGCAGAACTTATGGTTCAACCTAGGGCTAGCCGTAGTGTCAGAAGCCCAGATGCGCAAGGCGGGGTGTGCAGCTGGGGCCAGCTCTCTGCTCTTGTGGGTCAGAGTCAGATGGTGCTTGAGGAGGTGTGCGCGAGGCTTGAGGTTGAGCTTCTATCTTATTTGAGCATCCCTTGGCCGAAAGATCTGGCTTACGCAGCAGTGTTAGCAAGGAAATGCTGAGCTTCCTTCTAATTCACACAATTTATTCCAGCAGTAGTTGGAGATTCACAGCTTAAATCCCCTTCTCAAAGGTATTCATTCATGAGTTCTTTACCAAGTTGGTCAGACTTAAGGTTTTCATAATGGAATATTATCTAAAATATCTGTCTTCTGTGTGTGTGTGTGCACGTGTGTGTGATGTCTAGGTTCAGAATAGAGAACATCTACAATAATGAATAGCAATGCAGATATTAGACAAATGCAAATACTAAGTGGTTTAGAAATGCACATCTCAGATTCCTATATTTTTTAACAAGCCTCCATGGACTCATTAAAATTTCAGAATCATACTAAAAACATCATCCCCTTTTGGAATGAAAGTTTTAGGGTTTCAGAGCTTGAGTGAGGATGTATTTTAGCTCTTGGTTGTTGAGTATTTGCGATACATTTGTGTGTGTGTGTGTGTGTATGTTGGGTTTCTACTTTTGGTGAGACAGAAGCTGCTCGTACACCTGAGAGTTTTCCAAAGTGAACCATTTCATGGATTAAAGTTTTTCACTCTGTTAGTGGAATATGTGATCCTCTCTCAGCTGCAGAGAGGAAAGCAGGACAGAAAGCCATGTGTGGTTCTCTTCTCCCATGTTCTCTGCGGCTTACCTGCTTACTGGAGGAAGCAAAGGAGGAAATGCAGGTGTTTTGTTTTGCTTTGCTTTTCCTAGAGCAGCAGCTTTGGAAATAGCAGCACATATGACTTCATATTGGAAATGATAAACTACTACTGTTTTTTGAGCTCTTAACTCATGTTGGTTCCTCTTCGAAGGGCTCTGTTCATATTAGCAAATTAATTTCTCAATATTCCTTTGACATAGGTAGTGTTATTAGCCCCAATTTGTAGATGAAGAAACCAAAGCGTGATGAGGTTAAGAAACTTCCCAAAGCGACATAAAATGGAAAAGGTGGGGTTTAAATCCAGGCCATTGGGTCCCAGCACTATGCCAGTGGTATTGGTGAAAGACAGAACAATCCTCATCATCATCATATTTAAATGTGTTATTATATCAGCACTGTACTAATTGCTTTCAATTATCACGAAAACCTGGAGGTGGAAACTGTTGTAGATCCCATTTAACAACATGAGCTAAGGCTCTGAGAGGTTGCGTAACTGGCCCAGGGCTACCCAGCAAGCATGAGGTGGGATTTGAGTTTGAGTTGAGTCTATCTGACTACTAAGCTAGCAGATGCAGACAGCATGAATGAAGCACAGGATGTCCGATCCCTGCCCATTTCTTGCTACAAGCATGAGCTTCCCAGCAGCCAAAGCTTATCACTACCTCCCTTATGAGAGATCCAAAAAAAGGAAATTACAACATTCAGGCTTCAGGTAGGATGGAGGTCACTTCGCAGCAGAGGTTCTATTTGGCACATTCACTTTGAGTGCATGAGTGTGTGTGTGGTCAGCTGTTACTTAAACTGTATGTTGAGGGAACTAATTAATTAATGAAGAAAACCATTAAAAGAAGCTAAATTATTAGTGAGTCTCCCCTCAGAGCTCCCTAAAGGATCTTTACGGGATGTAATTCAAAGGATTTAAGAGGATTAGACACTACTACATTTAAAGTGCCCCTAGAACATAATATTGGCTGTAGCCCCAAAGAGGGTTTTTAAATAACTCTACTCCACAGTGTGCAGAAGGATTGAAGGTCCAAGATGTCCAGTGGGAGGAGGTGGTTTGAGTGGAGCTGGTTGCCCGTCTTTATACATTTGGAGAACCATTCTCTGGAAGAGAAACTTAACTTGGAGGTTACAGGGAGGTGCAATTCTCCTCAGTCTTAGGAAGAACTTTCTGTCAACTAGAGCTGTCCACCCATGGAATGGGCTGCCTCAGACACTCACCTGCTCCCTCTCACTGCAGGTGTTCGTGCAGAGGGGGGACAGGAGTCAAGGAAGCCAGTGGCAAGACCCCAATATTGGGGGTTGGGGTGGGGAATGGAGTAGACAATGAAGTCTGAGATTTTTTCATTATACACAGAATAAGTGCTGTTTAAGCTGCTTAACAAAGTTATTTCGATAGATTTTAATGTATTTTAGAATCTATTATCTATAAAAGATGCCCAAAAGTGAAAATATCTTTAAATGAATAAAAAAAGTTATTTTATCTATTTCAAAAACATATATTTGGAAATAATTCAGAACTGTTCTGTAGGTCAATGGAATCTATAAAGAGATTTAATATTTTGGAAAATATTGTGGAAACATCTAAAAATTCCTAAAAATGTTGCAGCTGTATTTGACTTCGGTTAAAGGAAAGAAACAGGAAAAGCGTGGGTTTTTTTTGACAAAAATGATAAATCGGCCTAGAGTTCACAATACAAATTTTCTGATAGAAATGGTGAATTATCAAACATAACAAAGCTAATAACTGAGTAAATCATAGAGCAGGATGTTAATATTGAGATAATAAAATATTGAGGCAAACGAAGTTCTCTACAGAGGCTTGCCATTGGGCTAGTCCTGCTATTTCCCTTGGGTGCCTGAATATCATCCTTCTCCACTATGTACCTTGCACTCATCTCTTAGAGCCTGAAAATGCCCATTCAATTAATATCCAGGTACCTAGGAATTTCGATGTTAAAATAACAGACTGTGAAAAGTTACATTGGAGTATTTTTTGAGTGTTGTGTATAGAAAACGCCTTTTAGCAGGTGGCTTTGGAACACTCTGAACTACCTGGTCACTGTGTCATTTCCTTTCTGTTTTCCTAGGTCTCATAGATCAGCCCCTTTTATATCTAAGGGGTATAAAAGAGAACTCTGAGGTACTCTGAGAACGGGTGCGATGCTACATTGAGGCCGCCATGATTTTTTTAAAGAGAGGGAACGTGTTTTGTAAAAGGAAAGAATGAGGAATGTCTGTCCTGGTCTCATTGTCAGCATTGAGACAGCTCAAATCTTATCATGATTCTTAAAATTAGCATCATTTGCACAGGAAATAAAAAGTGAAGATGATCAGTGGGAAGTGGGCTTATGTTGCAGGGGAGAGAATTCGTTTGTTCAAAGGCAGGCTTCGGAGTACGGAGATTAGATGTGCTTGGTTTGCGTTTTCAGGATACTGAAAGCTGATAGGGTCACGTCGGACTTTTAAGCCGCTAGAGTTTGTTCTGTAGATTTGTAAACATCCACATTCATAAAATTTGTAAACAAGCCTTTTGGATGGATGAGATGCTAACTTCTGGGGCTGGTCTTGTTCCTCAATGCTCTTTCCTCATTAGACTCCACGGCATCATTCCATGTGAAAATTTCATTTCTTGAAAGTGGAAGGTGCGGGTCCTGAAGATCCTGCTTTAGATGTTTGGATAGCAAACAATTCTGGCGCAAACTACCCCAACAATGGAAGAAAAACCTCCTCTCATCATGCACTGTCATCCTTCTTTGATATTCGCCTCTTATGCAATGTAGTCTCCAAATCAATCCTCCCGAGGTTCTGGCTTCCCTCCTCTAATTGCCATTAGCGAGGGCTCTGAATTCTCCTACTTCCCCATTCCTGAGTTCCTAGCCATTCTCTTTGACCAAAGTTTTGCAGTAGAAATGAAAGGGGCTCGGAGGATCAAAGGCTGTGTGTTTTCAGAACGATGCTGTTATTTTTGTGGGGTCCTTAACAGTTTGGAACAGTCAGGGGCAGGGAAGAGGCAACTGCAGTGTTTCAGCATTTTTGTGGAGCAGACTTCTCACAACCACAACGGAACCCCTTAATAGCGTTTGTTTAATAGCTTAGAGAGGCTGCAGCCTTGGAGCCTCAGTCATGGCAATGTCTTACCATCTGACGAATCCCACTGCAATAGAGCAGGAGGCAACTCATGCTGCCGTCATACTCCCCTGCCTTTCTCTTTACCCCATTTATTAAAGTTATGCTAACTCACTGAAAGCATTCAGGTTTAATCTGTCTTGCTTGACTTCATTACGTCCTACTATAAGTAGTCAGACTTGTGCATACTTAATGGCAATTACAGTGGGGTCCCACCTCAACATCAGCATGTGCCACCAGAAGATAATCATGGTAAAGGGACTTAGTATGTGCCAGGCACTGTTCTAACTGTGACACTGATATTAGCTCCTTTAGTCTTCACAGCAGCCTCAGGTGTGTGGTTTTGTTTTTCTCCCTGTTGAGTAAATTGCCCAAGGCCAGGGTCAGAACTAGAATTTGAATCATGCAGCCTGATTCCAGAGTTCATGGTGTTAACTACTGCCTCCACATCATACCAAAGGAATAATCTGAAAGGCATGCTAAGCATTTCTTTTTCAAGGTCTTTTTAGCTCAGCTCTTATGTAAGATTAAATTACCAGAAAACTGAGGCAGTGGCTTTATTGTTGTGGCCCCTTAATTATGAAAGAAAGAGGAGAGAAGAGAACGCTTGTCTTTGCAACCTGAGACTGGTTTCAATCCAAACTCAGGTTTTATTAGTTATGTGATTTAGGTCTGCTACTCATTTCTCTGGACCTCACTTGCTTATTCTGTGAAATGGGGATATGACCACAGCATCTACCTCATAGGCTTCTTGTTGACATGAACTTATGTAACGTAATTAGAGTGCCAGCACAATGCCTGACACATACATGTTAACTGGTTTTGTTTGAAAGCTACCTTTAATCCTTTGTGGAAATAAGATGGTGACAGAAAATGAACCAACTGTGTGCGGGGTCTATCAAAGGGATATTGTTTAGTAGAAGATAATCAGGTGCATGAATTTTATTATAGAAGGCAAGCCAGTGGTCTGGATTCCACCAATGGACTGGATTTTCTGCAATAGTGTCGTTAGATCTGTAACACGGGACCATTGTGAGGGAAATAGTGTTGGAATGCAGTGTTCTGGGTATTTATTACACTCTGGGGAGGATCCCTGTTGTCTCAAATTCTGAACTACAGCAGGACCCCTGCGTATCATGTCTGCTTCAGAATGCATAACAGTCGTGGAGCTGGGATTTACCAATCTCTTTGAGTTAATTAGGAATGGAAAATCAGTATAGTCATAGGGAGGGACATAAAGAAGAAAAATAAGTATGATGGCAGTTCTCTAAGGATGTGGGATTCTCCTGGGCAGCAATCCGTCAACTGCTTTCAGTGAGGTCTGATGCCTGGGGGGCATAGCGGAGTTCATGTGGGCTTTGTGACATGAACTTCCCTTCATCCCAATCGCCGGAATCTCACTACTCTAAGTGAAATTATCCAATTTCTACCTTCAAAGTGAAAAGTTCCCCTTTATTCTCTCTCACCACAGGAGCCCTGAAGACTACCCACACCAATGCACCAACTCTCTCTTAAAGCCATCCTTAGAAAACGATGGGCGGGGTTGTCCCCACTTCAGGAAACTCCATCTTTTTTAGAAAGCATCCCACATGGCACCTTAAGGGTTAATCTTTTGTTGCAGAGAAAGAGTATCAAGTAGCTTTCCAAGAGGGGATAACTCCCAGTTTAGAAACTGCCATTTCTAAAAGGTAAGCCAAACACACATTAGTTTACGCTGCTGCTTCCTATAAAAGGAATAACTCGCAGCTCCCAGCGTGTGCTTGTTAGGTTGCTTCTCTATCTCTCTGCCTATCTGTCATCTATATAACATCTGTATCAGGGTGAGGACCGTTAATCACAGTTAAGAAGAACCCCAGAACATGACAGATATCCCTTTTACTATAGATCCGTTTTACAGTCACTCTCAATTTATAGTGTCACGTAAATCAAAAGAGAAGTGTTTATCTTATCGTTCGGAGGCATCCCTTCTCCTTCGATGTCCTAGCCCCTCCCCCTGTGCCAGTTTCCAGCCCCTCAAAGATGCTTTGTGCAAGAAAGTGCAAGTTCCCCATTCTGGCTTTATTGATGTTCCCTTTTCCTCTCCTCCTGGCTCCCCCCCAAAGCAAGGGAACAGAGCAAATGGCCCGGGTTCTCCCCCAACGCCTGACCTGCGTTTACTGGGAGGAGAGCGGGAGAGGGAGCACGCATTCCGAGCAGGCTGCTGACTCCGACCACAGGCTGTTTCGTGCAGGCTGTCCCTCTCCTTCAAAACCGTGCATCCCCTCCCCGAAGCAGCAGGCACTGTGCCTCCATTCAGCCACATTTGGTATGCATGAGCACGGCTGCAGGAAGAGGGGAGGTGGCTTTCTTAAGAAGGTTCAGTGGCTTAGGCAACGCCACTTGACTAGTCTCCCAAGTTCCAAGAAGCCTCTGCCCTAATGGAATTTGCAGGTGTGGAGATGACCATGGGATGCCAGGGCCGTCGGGGACAGTTCATTTTCTAGGCATTGCTGAGGTTTGCAGTTTCTGGTTTTCCCGGTGGAATTTGGAAGGGGTCATGAATCAAACTGATGCTCCTCGACCCCTAAACTGGACCATCCGGAAGCTGTGCCACGCAGCCTTTCTCCCATCTGTCAGACTTCTTAAGGTACTGTAACTTGCTGCTTTGAATGACTTCAATTGTGCTTTTCAGGTCTAAATACCCAACTTTGCACTTGGGTTGGGACACACCTTTTGGGGAGCACAAATGCATGCAGTCCTGGCTGTGTTGCCCAAGGCTGGAGAGAGGTTCTCGGTGCCCCTCACCCCACGGTGTCAGGGAGGAGAGGATGGTCTGAGCCACATTTGAGAATGAGATGATGGTCTCAGAGAATGGGCTGCCTGAGTGCCTCCCCCAAACATCCCTAAAATAGAATTAATTAACTTCTCTGGGAGGATGGGAACAGTAGTGGGAGTGAAATCTCTTACTCCTGTGTGTTTGGCTCTTGGGTTTTTTTTTTCCCTCCCTGGGGAAGCCCTTCGACGACCCACTTTCCCTTTAAATGGAACCTGAGAGAACAAAGGATTCTCCTCATTATTTTAAAAGCCTTGTGTCCTTAGGTGGTTGCTCAGGTAAAGACAAAGAATGAAGCTCATCAGATTGTGACTTTTTTAATGTCCTTGTTTTTAAAAGAGGCATGATAATTTTAGTTTCCTAAGTGAAGTCAGTAGTGGGAAACTATTGTTAAATATATACTGAACGTCCGCCTCCTGCTCTCCCTTTAGCTCTGAGTTACACAAAAGAATGTACTACACCTGAGCTAGAATTGCCGCCTTGTGTCTGCAGCACTCCCCTTTCTGGAAGCAAACACATTAAAGCGATGGAAAAAGTCCCTACAACTCCCTAATAATTCACCTTCATCGTCTGCCTGGGAGGGAAGGAAATACAAATGAAACGAAAGCAGTGCAAAGAACAGGAATTTCTCCCCAGAAAAGAGACTGTGGTAACACTTCTTTGGGAAAAGTGCCTATCTCTGGATGTCCCACGTCCATTTGAAGTTGAAAACATAAGGCAAAGTTGTTAATTCTCTTTTCCTATGAATATGGTATTGCGATTTAATGACCACTGGACATTGAGTCCAGTCAGTCACAATGGAGGATTAAAGAACTAGCTCTTTATAAATTACACTTGCAATGTTTTTTTTTTTTTTTTTTCCTGAGGCTGTCTTTCCGGTTGGGTCAAGTTTGGTGTGGACAATGATCTCTGTACAGCTAAGTGGCTTCTCATAACAGTATTACTCCTGGCCTGAGTTTTTCTTATCCTGGTCAATGCAAACCAATATTAACTTTCAAAGGCTGCCCCATGTCCTGTTCAGACTCCCATCATATTGTTGCCATGGCAATCATTTGCTTCTCTAAAAGAGTATTTAGGAGGAAAGGCAGGTTTGGTAATGGGGAATGGGAGAGAAGCTTCCTTGGGTATGAGTGCTTTTGCTGTATTGGAACAACATGTGTGACAGGGCATGAAAAAGAATGAGGCCAGGGAACTACTAACACATGAATGTAAATTTTCCTCCCGAATCACTACTGAATCAAGGGACTGGGGCAAAGAATGTCTTGGCAAATCCAACTATGAATGGGAAAATTGACTCCAGCAATTCCATGTGCAATGAGAAACATTTTTCAGCTAAAGTCATTCATTGGCTTTACCCCAAAATAATGCTTAACTTACATAATGATCTTTTTAACAAGTATGTGTATATCATCCTCAATATATTATTCATTAATACTATAGTTTTTTTAATGGAAAATATTATTCATCATTTACTAGTCAAAAAACCAGCAGACAAGTATTTATTTGAAGTAGATTACTTATTTTTAGAAAGGCTGTCATCTTTTTTAGCTGAAAGTACCATCCATGCTATATACCAGTAGACATTGTCAATACTACACCAATACTGTCATTGGCATGCAACTCATTCTTACCTCCTTTATTAACATGATGCTTTATAACAATACATCTAATAAAGTGCATTAGTGAGTATCCTTCCAATTCTCTCAATATCCAAAAGATAGGATGTGTTTTGATAGAGAACTTTCTTTCTAAATGATATCTGTATTTTTGAAAGATCATAGCTATAATATCCTAGGAGACTTCAGATATCGAGCACATTTCAAACTAAAAGAAAAAGTGATGCCAAGATCTTTCAGCAATACTTAGAAAGAAATGAAAGCTGCTTTTGTAGATGAGTTACTCTGTTATCAATATCTAGATATGAATGCCATGTAATTTTTTCCCCTCTGAATTGTTGCTGCCCTGTCTTTGCTTTGTTAGTCCCTATGTATTCTTGCCCCGCTTTTATATTTCAAGTAAAATGGAAGTTCCTAAGTAATCATTTGCATCTTTTAGTCAATGCTCTTCCTGGTTTAGTCTATAGAGTAAATAGTTAACAGCAGTAATTTTTATTGTTCTTCCCTTACTTTCTGCTCCTTCCCACCCTTCCTCCCCCTCAGTCTCTTATTCTACCTCCCCCACACTACCACCACCAGGTTAATTTGATGGATAGATTCTCTGGGCATCCAGGAGTCTATTGAAATCATAAGCTAATAAACCCAATTCTCCTATTCAACAGGTAATTTTGTTCCTCTTCCAAGCCTTTTTCTGATGTGATGTGCCCTTTCCAGTGCCCTGACTTGTCAGTAAATGCAGTGTAGGGCATGATGGCATGATTAGATTTAGCTAAATTCCCATCACTCACCATTTCTGACAGACTGAGCTCAAGCCAATTTCCTTCCCTAGCTTTTTCTTGAAAATGTGTACCATGCTAATGTTTAGAAATGGCTTTATAATCCTTTTTCCTGAATTTCCCATTTCCTAATAGAAACAGGATACTAAAGAATTAGGAGGGGAAGGCCAGCATCTAAAGGATGAATTAAACCCAATGAATATTGGAATATACTTTTTATTCCTTCTGAAAACATCTCATTTGTTGTTTTGTCCATCACAGAGCAAATTTTGAATATGCCAACCAACTCACATTTTGAATTTGGAAATAACATTTGAAAAGGAATTTTTGGACAGGCACACAATGATGATAGCCAAAAGACAGAGGCTGTTTTCAAACGGATACATTTCAGATGGGACATTTTCCAAACTATTTCTTTTCATTTGTTGTTTGCTTCATTCTTATGTGTTTCAAGATTTCATGTTACTATTAATCACAAAAAGTCAAGTTTATTTCAGTGACAAAATGTTCTTAGCATATTTCATATTCATTATCAGGTCTGTCACTGCCATTGTTTTGTTTGGAAGGTTTTCTTTTGGTAACTTCTGTTGAATTTGAAGATTGATTTTAGGGCAGAGAGCTTTCTTTGTGTTGAAGTCTTGGTGGACTTACTGAAGGGAAAAAATGGGCTTCTGAAAAATGGGCTGCATTGAGGAAAAAGGAAGCTCTGTACTTTAACAGATTTTGGATATATGTGCTTAAGCCTGTTTTTAATGAAGACCAAATGATCAATATCATTTTAGGAAGAGTATGACTTTGCCCACTTTGAGCAATGTCAGAAAGAGATTAAAGAAATTATATTATAGACAGGCCTAAACACTGGGTCCTAATTCCATTGTTTTTCTAACCACCTGTGTGACCTTGGGTAAATTATTTAACCTCTCTGTAACTTGGTGTGTTCCTCTTTAAAATAAAGAGTTTAGGTCTTGACTTGACTTAGATCCAAAGCTATGACTCCCTGTCGTAAAGGCTGCCATGTTCTGTGGGCATGAAAGAACATAGTCTATTGAGGCTAAAAATAGTTAACCTGGGTTGGATATTAAAATGGAAAAAGCACTAGAACAATCAAAAGTGTTTAAATCATAAAGGGCCTTGTCTGCTAAGCTAAGGTATTTGAGCATTACTCTCAAAATTAGGGAGTGCCACTAAAGGGGTTTTAGCAGGGAGGTGACTGCAAAATTCAGATATTAAAGCAGTTTCTCTGGCTGTAATGTCTAGAAGGGTGGGGGATAGTGGGATTGGAGGCTGAGAGATTGAATCGGAGGCCTGGAGAATTGATGAGGACCTGGACTAAGGCAACAGAAATGGAGGTTCAATAAACAGGGCCTTGTTAAATTGATGAGTTGTGGTGGAGGGAAGAATTTAGGATAACTTCTGAGTTTCTATCTTTTTTTCAGTTTGGATGGTGGTTTCAGTGTCTGAGAATAAAGGTCCTGAGAAGGAAAGATGGAATTTCTCAATTCGTGGCTCCTCTTTAGTGAGCTAGATGGATATGTCAGTTATTGATTCTAGTGGGATTGAGACAAAAATAAGGAATATAATTCCATGTTATTGATGAGTTATGACCCCATTGAATGCCTAATAACAGAACTCTTTGAAGTAAATAACATACACTTTTAGTATATTATTTTAGTATGCTGGGTATGTATTAAAAGTAATACCACTTTTAGTTTTCTTAGATTGCATTTTTGTTACTTCACTCTGCCTTCTATAAAATTATGTATAGTAAACTCCCAATTTTTTGGAATCCAGTCAAAAAGCTCAGAGTTTTGTTTTATTTTTTGTTCTCCTTTATCTCTTTTATGTTATTTTCCAAAGAAGGATTAATGAAAGTGAACTGGGAAACACAAGGGAAATAATTGATAGAGTAGTGATCAAGTTAGGCTACAGGTCAGCACAAATTTTGTCCGGGGACCAATGTTTTCTACTTCTAGAATTCCACGTAATGGTAACCAAAGTCTATGATATTGTCCCTGAAGCATAGCGAGATCCTAATGACATAATGAATTGGGTCTGTCTTCTACAGCTGCTGCCAGAAATTCCAGAAACTGACTTCCCTTTGGTGTTCCCAAAATCTTAGAATACCATTATGTTGAGATTCATTTCAATTTGTATTTTAAATTTATGGCTTTTAAGGTCTCTCTTTCACATCTGAAATTTTGAATCTTTACATTTCAGGTAGAATAATATCAATAACCCAGAGTTGTTACTTAGCCAGGACAAGCAACCCCTGAACCACAGGCTAGTGGGTAGCAATTAAGTTTCTACAGCAAGAGAGGAAACACACACCTATTATATCTAGACATGTTGGTGAGTGGTGGCAAGCAAGGTCAGGGAACTTGTTGTGGACCAATTCCACTAAGTACCTTAAAGATGGGAAACT